GGACTAGCGTGACGGCCACGCCAGCACTCTAGCGAGCGAACGAAGAGAGGAGACGTCTGTCTGCAGACAGCAGAATAAAACCACGCAGAGAAAAAAAAGGCCTGGGAAATGGGCTGACATATCTAGGCTCCGCGGCATCAAAGGTTGGGTAGGTGAGCCGACTACAGACTCTGATGCGCTGCAAAATTGTGTGGATCGTGGTTCCAACAGGATCTGGGGGGGAGAGACCACATCTTAAGATGTCGTGTGTTGGGATGAATGTTAGGGGAAAGGAGGTGGTAGCTCTATCCCTTTGGGTATCGGTAGCGGGGAAAGAAACACACTTAACAAAATGTCTAAAAAATTTGTAATGGAGGTGAACAGGAGAAGGGGGAGAAGGGAAAGGTACGAACTTTTTGTTGGGTCCAGGGCACACCACTTGGAGAGCTGGACACGCTGAACTCTGCAGAGCGGCTGGGGAGGGAGTGCAGGAGCAAGATAGTGTAACCCGTAGACAATATTTGTACACAGAATTTGAGTAAAAAAATAAATAAAATCAATAAGAAAAACAAGCTACTGTTAAGACTGGGAAAACTGTCCCAACAGTTTTTTGTTTGTGAGTGGTTCAATAAGCGTCGACTTTTGATTGAAAAAAGAAAAGTACATAAACAGAAAAATTCAGTATAGTGTTAATGAGTATTCCATCAAAAAGATCTGGATGACCGAAGAGGCTTTATCTTCCAAATTAGAAGGCCGGTATTAATGATGAGCATCTTATAAGTAGATACAGGGAAAAAGTAAGCATTTGAATACAGGACATAAAAAGGTAATCCTTGACGGAAATTAGAATAGAGATGGTTCGGGGCTGCCTCATTGGCCTCGTTCCTTAGACACTCTGGGAGGCGGGCGGTGGACGACTTGCTTGTCAGGTTTGAAATCGGCCTGAGCAAGGACCATCGTGCTACTATACGAATGAGAAGAATTTAATAGCCAACTAGTGTGTGATCTAGTAGAATTAGCGAGGCAGGTGGGTGCGCATGATGTAGGCCCAGCTGACTCAGAGGTCTGAGCGGAAGGATTGCTGTAGCTCATAGTGTTGAGGTTGCTGTGAGCTAGGCTGACGCCACGGCACTCACTCTAGCCTGGGCAACAAAGCAAGACTCTGTCTCAAAAAAAAAAAAAAGAAAGAAAGAAAGAAAAAATGGCTCAAAAATTCCAACTATTATATTTTTTAGTAAAAACCAAAGGCATTTTCATTAAATTCAAAATAAGAAGATTCCTATTATCACTAAAATTATCATTAAGTGAAAGTCAATGTGATAATTTTTTAAATGTTGGAGATGAGGATAGAGCAAAAGTGGCAAAGTGGAGAATTCAAAACTCCATCCTTCCATAAAAGTAATGAATAACCTGCCCCCCCCCAAAAAAAAACACTGTCAGAATCAACATTTTTGGAACACTGGGATCTAATTAAAAACTTACAATTGGGGGAATGCTTAATAAAGAGGGGAAACTGTTGATGGTGTTCTAATTTACCTTGTTACCATCTGCCATTTCCAGATCAGTGGTGGCCTTGAGAACAACATTCCTGGCTCAGGTTGTTGGTATGAAAGGAAGCAATAAGGACCTTTTATTCAAAGAATTGTGGTTGTGCATTTTGAGCTGTCTGGTGGATCACTGAAGGATAAGCTCAAGCACTTGCCTTTGTTTAGGCTGCCTCAGAACTTTCCCAGAGGTGAGGTACCTTCCTGAATGGTGTTTATCAAAATCATTTAAGGGCAAATGTATCAACTACTATCACCTGGAGCGATGGGTAACAGTTGGGGCAAGCAGTAGACAAAATGAAAAGACTGATAAGGAATAAGCTGGGGAAGGAGATACTTGGGAAATATGAGCTTTGAAAAGTTTCCACATACTCCAAGAAATCTATAAGGCCACATGCAAGCCGAGGGCTTGAAGCATGGACAGAAAAGATCTAAGAAGATTCTGAGCTTTCTGCTCTGGTTGATTCAGGCTTCACACAAGCAGGATGTGAAAGCTAAGGCACTAAAGTTATAACTGCCTGGATAAACATTAAAGAAGGACCCAGACAGAGTCAATTGCAAGGACTAAAAGAGTTTTGCCTTGGTTTTTTGGTGCCAGGAGTTTAAGGAAATCTCAGTCAAATCACTAGCTGACAACTAAGCTAAAAGAACAAGGACTTCAGTGGCCACACATGACAGAAAAAATACAAACTTCACAAAAGTAGTTCACAAAAGCTATTAAACAAATATGAATGACAAGAAGCAGCAACAGCAAAATGTGGGAAGGGCAGTAAAGATGATCATATTATAATATTCAAAATGTCCACATTTCAACAACAAAAAAAAATACAAGTAATGTAAAGCAATAAGAAAGTATGGCCTAGTCATGGGACAAAAAAATATTTAATATAAATTGTCCCTGAGGAAGCCCAGACATTGGACTTACTAGACAAAGACTTTAAATCAACCATTTTAAATCTGCTCCAAGAGCTAAAGGAAACAATGGAAAAAAACCTAAAGAAATTATTGATGTTGATAGATAATTGATAGATAATTTATAAAATGGAGGCAAGTAGAAATTCTGAAGTTGAAAAGTATTAATATATCTATTTAGTGGGCAGTTCAAGCTATTCATATTTATTGTAAGAATAGACAAGGGGGGCAGATTTCTATTCATCCTATTGAGTTGAACTTTGTTGCTTTGTTTTCTCTCTTGAGCCACTGTGGTATCTGGACTTTCAGTTTTTGGTTGATTTTACACTGGTAAATGTTTATTCTATGCTTCATATGGAACCAGAGAAGACCATATTGCTTTTGTCTAGCAAAAGCAATCTTAAGCAAAAAGAACAAATTGGGAGTCATCAATTTACTGGACTTCAAGCTATACTACAAGGTTATAATAACTAAAACAGCAAATTACTGGTACAAGAACAGAGACATAAACCAATGGAACAAAACTGAGAACCCAGATATAAAACTATCCTCATATAGCCATCTAATCTTTGACAAAGCAGACAAAAACATACACTGGGGAAAAGAACACTATTTAATAAATGGTGCTTGGAAAATTGGATAGCCACATGTGGCAGACCAAATCACAATCCACACATTTCACATCTCACAAAAATCAACTCACGGTGAATAACAGACTTAAACCTAAGGCATGAAACTATAAGAATTCTAGAAGAAAACATGGAAATACTCTTCTAGACATTGGACTAGGCAAAGAATTTATGAAGACTTCAAAGGCAATCACAGCAACAACAAAAATAAATAAATGGGACCTGATCAAATTATAAAGCTTCTGCACAGCCAAAGAAACTATCACAAGAGCAGAAAATCCTGCAGAATGGGAGAAAATACATGCATGCTACACATATGATAAAGGGCTGATAACTAGAATCTATTTAGAACTCAGGAAAATCAGCAAGAAAAAAACAAACAACCCTATCAAAAAGTGGGCAAAGGACATGAATAGAAACTTTTTAAAAGAAGACAGAATAATGACCAACAAACATATGAAAAAATGCTCAACATCTCTAACCATAAGAGAAATGCAAATCAAAACCACAATGAGACACCACTTATCCCCAATGAGAATAGCCTTTAGCAAAAAGTCCCAAAACAATAAATGTTGGCGTGGATGCAGAGAGATAGGAACACTCATACACTCCTGATGGGACTGCAAACTAGCGCAACCTCAGTGGAAAGCAATTTGGAGATATCTCAAAGAGATGCAAGTAGATCTACCATTTGATCCAGCAATCCCCTACCCAAAAGAACAAAAGACCTTCTATAAAAAAAGACACCTGCACTCAAATATTTATAGCAGCACAATTCACAATTGCAAAGATGTGGAAACAATCCAAGTGCCCATTGATACATGAGTGTATTAATAAAATGTGGTACATGTATACCATGGAGTACTCTTCAGCTCTAAGAAACAATGGTGATAAAGCACCTCTTGCATTTTCCTGGATAGAGCTGGAATCCATTCTACTAAGTGAAGTAACCCAAGAATGGAAAAATAAGCACCACCAGCAAATTGGTTTCACTGTACTCACCAGCTGTACTCACCAGCAAATTAGTTTCACTGATCAACACCTAAGTGCACATATACAAATAACATTCACTGGGCGTTGGGCAGATGGGGGAGGGGGATGGATGTATACATACATAATGAGTGCAATGAGCACCATCTAGGCGATGGACGCGCTTGAAACTCTAACTGGGGGTGGATGGACGGGGGCAATATATATAACCTAAACATTTGTACCCCCATAATATGCTGAAATAAAAAAATACCTTGTCTTAAAAAACAATTTCTAAAGTCTTTCTAAGCAGAACCCAGAGGGTTTCTCCGCCTTCTGTTTTTCCTTTATTCCTCAGCCCCAACATGGACAAACCCTTTAACTTCTCATCTCCTCAGTTTCCTTATCTAAAACAGAGAAGTTTGTTTTTGGTTTTGTTTCACTGATTGCTTCAGTGACAATAAAAAACAAAATGAGACACAAGGCCAAAAATGACTGGAATTCATTTTTGCAATAAATTATAAGTGACAGAAGTAACTGAAGAGTTGAGTGATGCTTCCTTATAAAACCTTGTACACTATCACTATCCTTTGCCTTTTCTGTTTTTCCAAGTAATAATTCTTCCTTTCTCACCTCACCCTAACCTTAAAAAATTCACAGTTCAGGTGAGAAATTATTTATTGGTTCTTCTATAAAGATGTTCAATACACTAAATCTTTTGGTTATATGAAACTAGTCCTGAAACTTTTTGAAAGACAAATAAACCCACACATTTTAAAATAAAATATTTTCTAAAATAAAAAATGCAAGGAATAATAATATGGTATTCAATGGTATTCAATTCATGGTATTCAATGTTTTAGAAATGATTAACATTAATAGTATTTAGGAAATACAAATAGAATGATTCTATATTGTCATTTATGCATATTATAATTTCAAAAATGATATCTAAAATAATTCTTACCTTGCTTGAGAACTTTGGGGATTTATATTTAACAAGGCTGTAAAATCCTGTATGGCTGCAATCCAGTTTCCATTTTCAAAATAAAACATCCCACGTTTCCATAAGGCATCTGTTCTTTTGGGATCATAATGAATACACTAAAGTGGTGGGGAGAAGTACATAAACATCACATAATGAAAAAAGAACTAAGAAAAGTATGTAATCACATAACAAGTTAAGTGAATTACAACCACAATTTTAACTTCAGATTACATAAAAGCAAACCCCTTTAAGATGCCAAAATTTCCAGATTTGCATCTAAAGAACATATCTTTACAAAATCCACCCATCATCAAATTCTAGAGGGGAAATATTTTCTAAGAGAAAAAACAAACAGCATATACAAGAAGCCATGAGTTTTGCCCACTGAAATTTTTACTGATAAAAATTCATAAGTGAATTGTTCAACTAAAGTAGAGTATATTGGATCTATCAGCATTTTATCTGAATTAAAGATGTAACATATGAGACTATTATCAAGGCTGATTCAATCAAATCAAATATAGATTAATCTGGCCATTAAAACAGGGAAGAGAAATGAGTTGGTATTGGCATGGTTCATTCATTTCACACTAACATACAAGGCAATAGAATGATCATCACAATACTCAGTTTTAAAGCTCTTTGCCTATTGGTAGTGGGAAAGAATTAAAGCACAAAGGAGGTTAGCAAGTATTTTTAGAACAGAAAAAAACAAAAAAGCTAAAGATTTTGAAACTTGTTTGACCTCAATGTGTTACATTAAATCTATTTTTAAACTATTGGTGTCAGGTGGGGGAAAAAACAGAACAGAGGATAATTTCCATATCTTCAAAAGGGTTTTTGGTCAATTCTAGACCAGAAGTTACAAAACACATAATATTCTCTTCAAGCAGAAGAATGTCAAATAAGTGGCTAAACTGCCATTTTTTTAAGAAACAGAGCAGTCGGGAACATGGAAAGTTAAATTATTTAAGTAATTTCTCCTAAATTCTCAATTGTACTAACGCCTAAAAATTTGGAGTTAAAGGTCAGGAAATCAGAATTACAATTGTGCTGCAACCAGGGAAATATTTTGCCTTGACTCTAGCCTCAAAGTTCAGGAAAAAGTTCGTGCCCTCACATTCCCTAACATACTCCAACCAAATATAAATTACTCTACCACCATCCTCATTTTCTTCATAGCACTCATCATAATTTGCAATGATATGTATATCCACTACATTATGCAGTGCCTTAGTAAATAAATATTTGTAAGTGATGAATGAATGGACTAATGAATCAGTAATCACAGCTTCTCTGAAAACAGATAGGTTCCCTGCAGAAAAGAATCAGTTGTTCAAAAATTAACAAGTAGAAAACAATTTTCTCTATTGATTGAAGGGAAGAAGCAATTTTTAAAGGCTTCTTTAACTACTGATTCATAGTTCAAAAGGAGAGAGCTGGAAAAAATGAGACCCCTTCGTCGTTGTCTCCATGCCGCCACACTCAACTCTGATGTGAATCTATTCATTCACCCATAATTTTACACAGTAATATAGCATAAATATTAATTACAGTAATGAAAACTCTAGCTCCTAACCTATAGTAAATTAACTGATTAAGTGAAAAGACTTTTAAAAACTTGCTATACTATTAGCATGAGAATACCATGATTTAAAATATATAAACGGCCACATTACGTGAGATAAAGCTTACCCTAGTAAAGTCATCAATGGCCAGTAGTGTGTTTTCTATTTCATACATTTCGCCCCTCCTGAAATAGATGTCAGCATCTGTGGGCCTACACTTAATTGCCTGGGTATAGTTTAGAATTGCCAAAGTAATGTCTTTTTTTCCCCTGAAAATTTCTGCCTTTGACAAATAGATGTCTATAAAAGATTAAAAAGGTAAAATTAGTGTTACAATTCTTTCACTAACCATGAAAATTTTAGAAGATTAATCCCTCTCCCTCCAAAAATGTAGGCTTAGAATAATTTTCTCTATTATTCTTTCTTAACCATTTTATTCAATTTTTTATTTCAACAATGCCAATTTTGTTCTGAAAGCCTGGATAAATTACTCATTTGTGGTTAAAAGTACATTTAATTTGAGTGACAAAAATTACCTTTTACCTTTTTATATGTCGAAAATGTTTTATAATCTTGTAATGATCATAGTAAAAAGTCAGGTTTTGATGGCACAAAATTTTATGAATTTTTAGCAGACAGAGATCAACATAGGTCAAAAATATTTAGCAAACTTATATCCTATGGGTGTGTTGTAGGTGCTGGGGATACAAAGATGAATATGACACTTTCACATTCCTAGAAACTTCTATGTCTAGTGGTTCAAGTTGGTTAGAGAATAGTACATCAGAGAAAAGGTGCATATTTCATTCCACCAAGAAGATCTAGGTATACTACAACTCTAATTCAGAGATTCATGGTCAAGAAAAGATTTTTAAATAACTTCTATAACTACAAATATTAAATTTATACTCTTATGACATGTGCAGTAAGGAACCAAGTTACTGAAATATATATCAAGAAATTAACATTTCAAACCATGATGAGTATTTTGAAAACAATACAGAATTGTTTGAGCCTTGAATTTACAATAAGAAGACTAAAAAGTTTAAATGAGAAAAGTCACAACCATTTTTTCAGGACTTATATCTCCTGATTTATGTATCTCTATAATACCAATGAATGACAAAGACTGAGGTAAAGATATAGGTACTATAACTGTCTCCACAGACAACCCACCTGCATTATTTTTATTATATTTACTTATATAGTTCAAGTCATCCAAAGCTTCATTAATCTTGTCTTGGAAAAGATAAATTAAATGTCGGTGCCAATAGGCATTGAGCAACAATGGCTCCAAGCGTATAGCCTAGAAAATATATGCATAAATTCAATTAAAGTTGATTTGTTAAAGGAAGATATCCTACCAAATAAATTTTTCAAATACTATTGATCCCAGTGGCTTTGTATATATATTGCATAAAATAAAACCTCCCAATCTGACAAACATCTAATGCTCTTAATATTATTTGAAAATGCTAATAATCATATTTGCACAATCCCACATGCTATATAACAAATATTCAATGTTCAAAATTCCAGTAAAAATTGCTATATAATTAAAAGCAAGATAAATGGTTAATATTTCTATTTCAACTAAATATAATAAAACTTACTCTCTGTAGATCATCCATGGCACTCCGTAACTTTCCCAGTTTCCTATAAAGAGCTCCACGCCTACAATATGCAAATGCAGGATATTTTTTCTTTGAATTTATTTCTTCAGTCAAGATCGCCACTTCAGATTCATAATGTTTAATGACTTCTGGTGGAAGATAAGACTCCAAAGAATCGCTTAATTCTATTTTTTGTGGTTCTATCTCTCTTCCAGGCAGGTTTTTGAGAGCATCTGTTTCAACAGCTTTCTCTGTTACAGGTGTCCTCTGAATTTTGTGCTTAGCGAACAAATCAATAGCCCATATCCGAGGATTAACGTTTTCTGGAATTCCTCCCTTACTTTGGATGAATTTTTCAAAATCTAAACACAAAGGTAAGCTGGGACACCGTATTTGACGTTCATATAATGGAATTTTGAGCAAATATTTCTTCTGTTCAGGAAGTATTCCATGAGATGCTGATCTAGTTTTTAAAAGAGTGATTTTTTTTAAATTACAGAAATATAACTATCTTTCTAATCAATAAATCAACTCAGACACACACAAAATTCCTATTTCTCTGCTATTGAAATAAAATTACATGCTAATCTTAAGCAGCCTAAGTGCTCCTTTGCATTCATTAAAATTGTAACGGTTTGTGAACACCTGCAGAGTTTATGAAAGCAAAACACTGTTTTTAAAGATGTAACCTCCCTAGAGTACCAAAATAATGGGGTCAGTGCTCCTTTCAGGTTTAATTTATACCCCCAACACACCACCCACCAGTGGAAGTACAATGCAGAATTAAGCAAGTAAACACAATGTGAGAAAGAAAATGCAATCCAAGAGGTTGAAAAGGACATGAACTTGAGGAAGTGGGAAAAAGAAAGGAGTTGACTTCAGGGCAGAGTACCAAATAAACAACACAAACTTTACCCTTCTCTAGTAGGCTGTCAAATTAGAGAATACCTAATATGCTCTCAAATGCTACAAGTCTAGGGTTATTCTGCTCAATTTTTCCATTTCCAACATAGTTTTCATTCAGTAACATTTAGTGTATGGCTGATACTGTACTAGCCACAGGAGATAGGATAAACCCATTCTATCGGAAGAAAAAAAAAAATTTTTAAGCTCATCACTACATACTTAGTGTTTACCAGGAGAAAGACCTAGTATTAAACACTTGGAAAATAAAAGTAAGAAAAATCTGTTTCCTTCCCTTTCATTTCTTTCCTACACACTCCAATCTTTTCCACATTCTAGTGCAAGCTACCATATCTATTCTGCTGAGAGTACAGTAACTTCTTTTTTTTTTTTTGAAAGTTTTTTTTTTATTTCAGCATATTATGGGGGTACAGATTTTAAGGTTTCAATAAATGCCTTCCCCCCTCCGCCACAAGTCTGAGTCTCCAGCATGACCATCCCCCAGATGGTGCACATCTCACTCATTATATATGTTATACCGCCCCTCCCTGCCCAATACCCTATTATTGCAGTACCTATGTGACCACTTAGGTGCTGTTCAGTTAATACCAATTTGCTGGTGAGTATATGTGGTGCTTGTTTTTCCATTCTTGGGAAACTTCACTTAATAGTATGGTTCCAGCTCTAACCAGGAAAATATAAGATGTGCTATATCACCATTGTTTCTTAGAGCTGAATAGTACTCCATGGTATACATATACCACATTTTATTAATCCATTCTTGGATTGATGGGCACTTGGGCTGTTTCCACAGCCTTGCAATTATGAATTGTGCTGCTATAAACATTCGAGTGCAGGTGTCTTTTATGTAGAGTGTCATTGGATCATTTGGGTAGATGCCCAGCAATGGGATTGCTGGATCAAATGTAGTTCACTTGTATCGCTTTAAGGTATCTCCATATTGCTTTCCACAGAGGTTGAACTAGTTTGCACTCCCACCAGCAGTGTAGGAGTGTTCCTCTCTTTCCGCATCCACACCACCATTTATTGTCAGAGACTTTTTGATAAAGGCCATTCTCACTGGAGTTAAGTGATATTCATTGTGGTTTTGATTTGCATTTCCCTGATGATTAGAGATGTTGAGCATTTTTTCATATGTTTGTTGGCCATTCTTCTGTCTTCTTTAGAAAAGTTTCTGTTCAAGTCCTTTGCCCACTTTTTAATAGGTTATTGATTTTTTCTTCCTGATTTTCATGAGTTTTAAGTATATCTAGTATCAGTCCCTTATCGGATGCATAGGATGCAAAAATTTTCTCCCATTCTGTAGGTTGTCTGTTTACTTTCATGACTATTTGTTTGGCTGTGCAGAAGCTTTGTAGTTTGATCATGTCCCATTTATTTATTTTTGTTGCTGCTGCGATTGCCTTTGGGAACTTCTTCATAAAATCTTGCCTAGGCCGATGTCTAGGAGAGTGTTTCCAACTTTTTCCTCTAGAATTCTAATAGTTTCATACCTTAGGTTTAAGTCTGTTATCCAGCATGAGTTGATTTTTGTGAGAGGTGAAAGGTGTGGGTCCTGTTTTAGCCTTCTACAGGTGGCTATCTAGTTTTCCAGCACCATTTATTGAAAAGGATTCTTTTCCCCAACATATGTTTTTGTCTGCTTTGTCAAAGATTAGATGGCTATATGAGGATGGTTTTATATCAGGATTCTCACATCTGTTCCACTGGTCAATATTCCTATTTTTGTGCCAATAACATATTGATTTAATTACGACAGGTTTGTAGTATAGTTTGATATCTGGCATATTAATGCCTCCCATTTTGTTTTTGTTGCCTAGAATTGCTTTTGATATTTGGGGTCTTCTTTGGTTCCATGCGAAGCATAAAATTATTTTTTCTATATCTGTGAAGAATGCTGATGGGATTTTAATAGGTATTGCATTGAATCTGTAGATCAGTTTGGGTAGTATAGACATTTGGATGATGTTGAGTCTGCCGATCCACGAGCATGGTATGGATTTCCATCTGTTTACATCCTCTGCTATTTCCATCCTCAGTGTTTCATAGTTCTCCCTGTAGAGGTCTTTTACGTCCTTGGTTAACTATATTCCTAGGTATTTTAATTTCTTTGTTGCTACTGTGAAGGGAATTGAGTCTTTGATTTGGTTCTCAATTAGATTGTTGTTGGCGTATATGAATGCCTCTGATTTCTGTGTATTGATTTTGTATCCTGAGACTTGACTAAATTCATTGATGAGTTCAGGAGATTCTTGGTTGAATCTTTGGGGTTTTCTACATACAATATCATATCATCAGCAAACAGTGAAAGTTTGATCTCTTCTGCCCCTATTTGGATACCTTTGATGCCATTTTCCTGTCTGATTGCTGTAGCCAAGACTTCCAGCACTATGTTGAACAGAAGTGGAGATAGTGGGCAGCCTTGTCTGGTTCCAGTTCTAAGTGGGAATGATTTCAATTTTTCCCCATTCAGTATGATGTTGGCTATGGGTCTGTCATATATGGCTTGTATCATTTTTAGGTATGTCCCTTCTATGCCTATTTTCTTAAGTGTTCGTATCATGAAAGGGTGTTGAATTTTGTCAAAAGCTTTTCTGCATCTATTGAAAGAATCATGTGGTCTTTGTTTTTGCTTCTGTATGTGGTGAATTGCATTTATAGATTTACGTATGTTGAACCATCCCTGCATCCCTGGGATGAAGCCCACTTGGTCGTGGTGGATTATTTTTTTGATAAGCGTCTGGATTCGGTTAGTCAAGATTTTGTTGAATTTTTGCATCTATATTCATTAGGGATATTGGTCTGTAGTTTTCTTTTTTGTTGCGTCCTTTCCTGGTTTTGGTATCAGAGTAATATTCGCTTCATAAAAGGTGTCCGGGAGGTTTCCATTCTTCTCGATGTTGTGGAATAGTTTCTGCAAGATAGGTACTAGTTCTTTGTAAGTGTGGTAAAATTTGGGTGTGAAGCCATCTGGACCAGGACTTTTCTTTTTAGGGAGATTTTTAATTGCTGTTTCTATTTCAGCTGTTGAGATTGGTCTGTTCAGGGAATCTATATCTTCCTGATTGAGCCTAGGGAGGCTGTGTGTTTCTAGAAATTTGTCCATTTCCTCCATATTTTCCAGTTTGTGTGCATAAAGATTTTTGTAGTATTCATAAATTATATCTGCCCGCAGGCCAGACCACACGCCACCAGGCCTCCCCAGATTGTGATGCTGGCGGGGAGGTTCCCTGCGCAGGAACGCCACCTGGGCTGGGCGTGCGGCCTCCTTTTGGGAGGAGGGTTGCCCTCTAGGACGCTGATCTGCCCCTAAAGGCACACACACCTCAATAGGCTGTTCACATATATCCCTTCTGTGACTCGGCCAATGCTAGACCTCGGTGCACGGGATCTCGTCTGCAGGTCCGACCTCTGGGTCCCAGAGTTCAAACTGTATCCCCTCCAGGGAGAGGAGTTCGGGTCCCAATTCACCCACAGGGAGCCCAAGCTGGGTCTATGTGTTTCAGCCTCTGAGTCTGCACAGTACTCCTGGGAACACCGTGCCAGCAGCACCTGGGAGGGCTGGTGGGTAGGAGCTCACAGTCTGAGTTCCCTTAGTCAGCTGTAGGGTCCCAAAAGGGAAGATCCGTTCCCTGGAGGTGCCTCCGGCTGGTGGCTGTATTGTCTCTTGGGCAGCGCGGGGTAGGGTCTGCGGAGGGGAGGAGGAGGCAATATGGCGCCTGCCGTGCGGCTCGGGTCTGTGCACACAGAGGTGCCAGGAGGGAGTTGGGAGCCTGGTGCCGTGTCCGCTACAGGCTCACCGCTAGCTGGCGGGGGCCGTCTCTGGGCTGGTGTCCGCAGGTCTCTCCACCCACTGGGGAGCCCACCAGCAGTCCCAAATGCAGGGGAGGGGAAAGGTGAATTATCCACCTACCCTTCCGCTGGTCTCCGGGCTGCTCCTGCGGTCTCAGCTTCCAGTTCTCCTCCGCAGCCTCCTCCTGTGGAGTCTCCCATGATCTCAGGTACCTCTCCTTCCAGCCCTCGTCCGCTGTATGCTTGTCTTCTTGCTTCTTTTTTCTAATTTCTGCTAGAATCTGTCTTTTCTGCAGAGACACTCTGTCTGGAGGTGTTTCTCGTCCGCCATCTTGATCCTCCCCTATTTCTACAGTAACTTCTTAATTCCCTGTTTCTACTCTTGCACTTTGTGTAATCCATTCTCCACATGGCAGTCAGCATGGTTTTTGTCCAAATATAAATCAAATCATGTCATTCGCTCCAAGAGCTTCCCGTAGCACACAGAATGCAAATCAAGCTTTTCACCACGTTCTACACGATTCCGCACGATTGAGTCCCTAGCACAGATCTCTGATACCACTACTCTCTCCCCTCACTCCATATTTCCAGGCACAACATCCTTGAGCAAGCCTCAAGACCACAGCCCTTTCTAGCCTTCTTGCTTGCTGGCTCCTTCTCAATTCACATTCCTGACCAAATGTCACCTTAGAAAGACTTTCTGTGCCAGATATGTTTTGTTTGCACCTGCGCATTCATCTCTACCCTTCTCCACCTTGCTTGCTGCCCTGGGAGACTGATCTGTACAGACTGCATCCAGGGGATCCCTTGTTCTGTCTTTTCATAGAGTTTGTGCAATTAGGAACCCCAACAGAGGGAAGAAGAAGTCAAGCTATTTATTCCTCTGGCTCACTCATGAATGGTCACCTCAAACTGGCTATAATCCTTGACCAAAGATCATTCCTGATTTCAAGAAAAAAACTTTTTCTACACAGCTCTTTCTTCCCATAACTCCCTCTTTTTGTCCTCTCTAACTTAGGGGTAGAAAATGGCTTTACAACTTTTAGTCCATGGATAGTGCATTATCATTTGTGGTTTCCCTATACTCTGATATCTTTGTAAATTGCCCGTTTCTCATGACCTCCCAGAACTATCCTATTTGTTTGCTACTGGGACCCTGATTGATAAAGTAATAGTACCAGAGATGGACGCAGGAAACACACACATACAAAGGATTCTAGGATAAGGTCCTTGCCAGGGTGAAATGTAGTGGTATCAAAACTTCTCAAATAATCCCCAGAGTTAGCAGGGAATGGTGTTCAGGTAGAAGCAAGGCATTGGGAGATCAAGTAGCTAACATAGGACAATAAAAATGATTATAAAAATTATGTAGTCAGCTAACTACTTCTTTCAGACCAAAGAGTAGTTGCAGTACCTATTAAATGCCTAAGCCCTCTAAACCTTGTGCAATAAGGTAATAAAGCTACTAAGGGAAGAAATAGGAAACTGAAATATGGGTTGTGAACATGAGAGCAGACATGAATGAGGGTGAGAATTTTGAATCTCTAAATTCCATTTAACTTTAATTCCATTTAACTTCCCTTAACAGAGGAGACTGGCTGAGGGGTATCAGACCCTCTATCTGGGACACTCAGTCTTCTCCTGCATAAACATATTTCAGTGGCTACACTGTGACATTGCCTCATACGCTACAACAGACCTGATTTAAGCACTCCCCAAAATCACTCAGCTGTGACTCCAGAACCCGCTCATGGAGCCACGACCATCACAGTCCCTCAGCCTCCCACATACCTCCTCTACTTAGGTGGCCCTGAATCAGTGGCTGCTGGCCCTGGCCAGGGAGTTTGCCCTTTAGCTAAGAGTTCAGTGTATTTTCAGTGCTGAATAAAATAATAACTCCATTGGATGAAATTGTAACATTAAGGCCAAAACCATAATATGTTTCTTCAACTATTAATATAAAAAATGTTGCTTAAACAAGACCTTTTAAGGGATTTTGGAGGCTTGGATAATTCTTCAAACACAGCTGTAAGTTTTTGGAATTTCAATCTTTTCTTGAATTTCATCTTCCTTTTCTTGGGATAAACGATGTAACTAATGCCAGCTTTTCTAGATGCTTCAATGAGAGAGAGAGAGAGATCGGTCACATCGTGTTTTTCCTGAATATCATCCAAGATGACATCTATATCTTCTTTCACAGGAATGGGTTCCTCAGTTTTATTTTGCTTAGTGAGCTGATGCTCCAGCTGCTTTGCTTTCTGAAACATCACCTCTTTCATACAGCTTTGGATGTCATCCTTGATTTCCCATAGAGCTATGCTCTCCCTCCTCCACTCAGCTCCAGATTTCACTCTCTTAATAAGGAAGCAAAGAGATAGGAAAAAATATAAAATCGATTTAGTTGTCAATTTAAAATTAATTCAGTTACAATTTCTATTAATGTAGTTTGGCCACTTTATTGAAAATTTTAGAAATCATATATTCTTAAGTTTATTTAAAAGTCAGCTTATAAAGTTAATAAAGGGTTAGTTAAAGCAAAGTACCATAATTTTGTTGGTCATATGACATTTCATTAGATATATACAAATAATATAAAGTAGATATGCATTAATTATGACTTTATATATTTTTAATTGAAAGAGAATGCTCTACATATCCAAATAAAGTACATGCTCTACTTTGATATTTAATGCAAAAAAAAATTAGTAGAATGGACAAAAACTATTAAAATGCCTTAAATCAAATTAAAATTAATTTGAGTCTATTTTCAAAAGCACTTTAACAGCATTGAGTTTCTATACAATACTATTAAATATTCTCTACAGTAACTTTCAATTCAATATTTGTAAGCTTAAGAAAAGAATCCCAGCCTAGTACATTATTTATTTTATCTAATCATTACAGAATCAACTTAATTTTAATAATGCCACTATTTATAACAAATAATTTTTAATAATTATATATTGATGCTTGAAACTTTAATAATACTTATTACTTATAAAAGATAAATCAATTCTAATCCTTTGATATAGCATTCTCTACCTATTGGAGCTATTGTGAATAAGTTAACTGCATTTCTTTTTGATAATAATAACGTAACAGAGATGTTTTTCTTTATAGTGGATTTAGGCCCAAATTTCAAACATAACAATTTCATACAAGTTAATTATATATCACAAGATATATTTAATACTAAAGTACAATAGAAATATTGATTCTCTGTGACTTGCTATACTTCCCTCATCTCAAATAACTATTAATATATGTAACTCAATATGTAATTAGACTAGAGAATAGAATATAAAATATATATGCATGCTTTTTTAAAAACCATAGGGTTTTTTCCAAGAAATATAAACATTTCTTTTAGATAGTAAAAGCTAAAAAATTATGATACCTTTAATTGTGGAGGTTGTGCAACCAAATATGTTGGGAAATTGTCGAATGATCTAGATTTTCTTCGTAAGAAAGACTGTGAAATAATCAAATGAAAAATACACATTAACCACAGATACTATTTGTAAACTAAAATATTATATGACAGTCAGTTAATGATCACTGTTTATGTAAATTAATGAAACACAAAAATACTAATTAAAATACAGGTTCTTACTGATTTTGAAATCACTAACTTCATAGAGAGGAACAGAACTTAAAGGCCATCAATTAATTTAGAAAAGTGTATAATGAAAACTATATCATTTTTAAAAACTCAGCTTGATATAACAACTCTGCTATGTTCAAGGTGCTCTCATGCAAAGCTTCCCAGCTGGTGTCAGTGGCACTGGTGTGTGGCAATGCACATGGATGTGCTGAGCCATGAATCCCCTTAACCATGGAGCTGCACTGGTTGGACCTGGGGCAGCTAGTCTCCCCTGGTCAGTCACTTCTAATCATGAGCAACCTCAGCCTTTTACTCCAGGGGACCACACAACTTATTTCAACTTATTACAACTTAACTGCAATAGCACCCAGATTGGTGTTACCGGTGTTAAGAGTTGGAAAGCACTACTATACTAGAATGGAAAGTACCAAGAAAATGACATGTTTCATGCCCTCACACAACATAATAATACAAATAGCAAAAAATAAATATCTATAATCAAAAATGACTGTGGCAATGACTGCCCAGATGGCACAAATCAGGTGCAAAGAGAATGTAGGAGAGGAAGGGATCAGTTCTGAAAAGGGAGGATCCTGGATAGATTTGCTTGAAGAGCAAGTATATGAAAGGCGGCAGCATTTCCATAGACTGAGAAGGGGTCGAGAACATCCCAGGACAAGGGATCAGCCTAACGAACACAGAAAAAGTATCAAAGTGCCAATAATTTTAATCCACAATGAGCTTGGTGTAGGCAGAGTACAGAGTACATGGAGGTTACGCAGAAGTAGAAGTATAAAGGAAGGGAACATAGAGTTGAGGCCAGGTTATGAGACTTGGTTAAGTACTCAGACATTATTTGGTAGATGGAGTTATTAAGTTTGTTGAGACATGAGTGATACAATCATACCTGTGTTTTAAGAATATAGCAGGATGTCTTAGTGATAAGTTCTCTGTACCCCAATGGCAATTACAGCAACCACAAAAAATAAATGGGACTTAATTAAATTGAAATGCTTCTGCACAGCTAAGGAAATCATCAACAGAGTAAACAGACAATCTATAGAACATGAGAAAATATTCACATATGATAAAAGGCTAATAACCAGAATCTACAAAGAAGTTAAACAAATCAGCAAGGAAAAAAACAGCCCCATGAAAAGTGGGCAAATGATATGAACAGAATCTTTTCAAAAGAAGGTAGACAAATGGCCAATAAACATATGAAAAAATGCTCAATGTCAGTAATTATCAGGGAAATGCAAATTAAAACCACAATGAGATATCACCTTACTCCCTGCTAGAATAACTTTTATTAAAAAGTCCAAAAACAATAGATGCTGGTGTGAATGCAGAAAGGAATGCTCATACCCTACTGGTAGGACTGCAAATTAGTACAACATCTATGAAAACAATATGGAGATTCCTCAAAGAACTAAAAGTAGACCTGCCATTTGATCCAGAAATCTGACCCCTGGGTATCTACCCAAGGAAAAAGAAGTCGTTTTATCAAAAGACACCTGTACTTGAATGTTTATTGTAGCACAATACACAACTGCAAAAATGTAGAATTAACCCAACTGCCCATCAATTCATGAGTGATTAACAAAATGTGGTATGTGTTACTGGAATACTATTCAGCCATAAAAAGAATGAATTAATGCCTTTTGCAACAATTTAGATGGAACTGGAGACCATTATCCTAAGCAAAGTATCTAAAGAATAGAAAAACAAACACCACATGTACTCACTGTTAAATTGGAACTAACCAATGAGCATAGATGTGCACAGAGGGAAGTAAAATTCAGTGGAAATCAAGCGGGGAGAGGTGGGAGAGGGAGGAGGGAATGGGTGAAGACCTACCTAATGGGTACAGTGAACACTATTTGGGTGATGGGCACACTTATAGCCCTGACTCAAGCATTACAAAAGCATCCATGTAATCAAAAACATTTGTACCCCCTTAAAATTCTGAAACAAAAAAAAAGACAGCTGAAGTTGAAATAGTATGAAGCTTCTAAATTTGGGGATAATACAATTACTAAAAAAAAAAAAACCTAAAGTTAACACAAAATATACTTAGGATAAGCAGTCATCAAAATTCCTATTATCAAAAGCCATATTACACTTGTTTCAATGGCCAATATAAAATCCTTATATTTACAAATCAAAATTGTTATTGATTTTTCAAATTTAAAATAACATTATAAAAAGAAAACATAGCAGGATGAATTGCGAGAAGCAACTACTAAAAATGGGAATATCCAATAAGTAGATGTAAGTAGTGCTACTTCAATAGTCTAGAAAGTGCAAATGGCACCCAAATTAGAAAGGCGTCATTTGTTGATTTGGTTATTTTTAAGTGACAGTCACTGCTCTAGGTGTTGTGGATAAAACAGTGAATATGAATGATATGACCCCAGGCTGGTGAGGAATAAAAAGATCAATCATACAGAAGGACAAATATTTGATAAGTATTATAAAGAAAGCAGCAAAAGAGGGACCCATATTAAAAACATTACCCTCCCTCACCCAAAAAAGTATTCCTTGACTGTAAGGGAGCAAAGGAGGAGGCACAGGGACATATTTAACCCAGCTAACTGATAGAATAGGAGTTTGATTGGTCCCAGGGCAGTAAGACTCTCTACTATGTGGCACTCAGCACCCCAAGATACCATTCAGGGATGTAGAGGGCTGGAGGCACAAGTGAGAGAAAAATAAAAACTACTTCCTGTTTGTCCCCCACAAAGTTCAGGCCATTAGTAAACCAGTTATATAAAATTTAATACCTCTCTTCTTCCCTCAATCTCTATCTTTTCTCTCCAATTGTGTTTATTACTTGATAAGCTGACTTGGATGCACTGTAGTGATATTAAAATCATGAATATGCATCTAATCTCCATTTAGAACAACCGGTTTTACTCTGCTTCATGTCCATAAACAGCTTCCCCATTTGACAAAAAGACTCATAAATATGTTCTTTTGATCATTTAAGATTAGGCAAGAATGAGTGAAAAAACTGGAAATTTTAGAAAAGCTCACAGCAGAGGTCCAGTTATTGATTAATGAATGGCATCTTCTGAGTGTCATAAAAACTGCATATTTGAGAAAAAGGAAATGTATCCTTAGCAAAGATACCACTGAATGGTCTGAGCCATTTCTCAGAATGAGGAAGCACCAAGAAATAATTTCTGGAATTATTAGAAATAATTTCTGAACTGTAAGCAGATACAGTAACCAACCCACAATTAAGAACAAAAATTATATATACCTGAAAAGCTGTTTTGTTATCATCATCTAATATAATACTTTCATCGCTTATAGATGAAAATTTCTCAATTAGAAGTCTGCTTCCTTGAATACTCTGTGATAAAAAGATAATATTTTTAAATTATGTTTTAGAATGCTTTTAAAAGTCTATGATGACTGTTACCTCATACTACATTATCACCAAAAGGGAAACAAATGAAAGGTGAAAGGGGAAAAATTCTAGAAAACATTACCAGAGATCCATCCAAATCTAGCCACAGCCTTAGTATTGGGCCAAAACCTGCAATTTGGCTTCAGTGTTGCCCTTTATACAAATGGGGACTTTTACATTATTTATGACATCCTTAATCTTCCCGGTGATCAATGATCCTGTGATCTCATATATTAGCATTGAATCTATTTAGCATATCAACATCAGGATTATGAACAAGACATATTATCTAGATTTCTTGTCAATAAATGACTATTCATTTTTAAATACAAGCAAGCATTCTAAATGGAAATTGAAATGAAAATTTTTTTAAATGCTTTATATATTGAATTCTATCCATCAATGAAGCTACATATGTAAATTTATTGTTCTAAAAGTAAACAGCTGCAATAATTATGATTATTATTAAATATTACTTTTCTATCTTCTAATAAGCAATTTGGATATGCAGAAACTAGAAGACCTAAATTTGACAGCCTAGTGGATTCATGATTAATTAAATCAGGCTGTTGCTTTATTTGTTTGCTAAAATTCTCAGGTGTCAAACAACTAACATTACAAATTTTAAAAATATTTATTGAATAAAAAATCAGATTTTAGAAGTATCATGCAATTATCACTGACAATGGAGAAGTCTATGGTAATTTAGGAATCACCAGCATTGAATTTTTGCCAAAAATCCTGTAAGAGAATTATTATACATAGCAGAAAAGATACTTGGTCACTTTCATTATTATTCTTCAAAGACAAAACTATTTAGTTTGATATATAAGAGAGGTTGGAACTATTTTGTCCTATGTTTACATAAGTTATTGAAATATGATAGAATAATTGCTATTACATATTTCAAAGAATGCTTTTAACAAGGATAAAACCCTTAATAACATAATTTATAGATATCAAAACAACAGACTAACAGCAGATTAACAATAAGCGATTGCTTATTTTAAAAAGAGAACAAGGCTCATGTGTTAGAACCTCGGAACTTACCAAAACATTGCCTAAAATGATGTGCATTGAAAGGGCAATTGCAGTGTCACTTACATGGTTCCCTTGAAAAAAGTCCTACTACTCTACTCCAGGGATATTGCCGAAATTGCTATCATGCAATAAAAGCTTGGATGCAGATGAAAATGGAAACACTTTGTTACCTTAGAAGTTGATTATGACTTCAGCTTCTAATTATGGCATTATAGGTAATTCTTATGAGGACAACTAAGAGAGCTAAATGTAATAAGAAAAATATCTTCAAAGCATCAAACAGCTAACATGATGAAGAGATAATGAACCAAAATCTAGGAAAAGACAAAGACTTGGAAAGGCAAGCCTGATATTCAAAGATGCTTCTGTTCTCAGAGTGTTTGCCAAAACAGCTGCAAATCTGAGCGGCAGATTTGGCAACTTCCCATTTAATGAATAGTTAATATCTTTTCTTTTCCTTCTGATTTTTGTTAATAATATTTTCCTTTCTCTGGCCTATTTTATGGTAAGAATACAGTATATTAATATAATACATATAATATACAAAATATATGTTAATCTACTGTTCATGTCAGTAAGGCTTCTGGTCAACAGTAGGCTATTAGTAGTTAAGTTTTGGGGAGTCAAATTTATACATGGATTTTCAATTGTGCTAGGGGTCAGAGTCCCTAACCTCCATGTTGTCCAAGGGTCTACTGTACGTATGATAAAACACAATAAACCCAAATAATTGTCAAGAAAATAAGAAAAAGAAAAATATATATATAATGGGTAAAGAAACTAAAACGAACAAAATTAAAGTAGGTATAAATTTTAAATAGGTCTAATTAAAAAATTAAAAAATTACCCAAATGTATAGATTTGTTTTAATTCTAATCATATGTTGTTTATAAAAGACATATCTAAAATATAAGACTCCAGAAAAGTTAAGCATAAGAGAAAAAATATTTAAATAAAGTAAAACTGGCATCAATGTATTAATAGCAAAGATAGACTCTAAGATAAAAGTGTTTACTAAAATAAAAAAGCTCATTTCATAATTGAAAGTTTCAGTTCACAAAGTTTATAATTCTTAATTTGTATGCACCTAATAACATGGTTTCAAAATATATAAAGCAAAAATTGACAAAATGACAAGAAGACATAGAGAAATCTATACCACAGTGAAACATTTTAACACCCCACTGAGGTTAAATGACGTGTCACTCTACCTTCTTACTTCAGCTCTCCTATTTTAAACAAGTATCATTTTCATGGACTATATACTGTCATTTTTTTCACATTTTTGTCCTTTTTGCTCATGATTTTGCTCTTTAAAATGGCCCTAAAGTATAGTGCTGAAGTCAAGAAGAATGATCACTCCCAGTTTGTTCTTCTTACTTAAGATTGCTTTGGCTATACGAGGTTTTTTCTGGTTCCATACAAAGTGCAGAATTATTTTTTCTAGATCTGTAAAGAATGCTGGTGATATTTTGATGAGGATTACATTAATTCTGTAGATAATTTTAGGTAATATTGACATTTTAATGATATTGATTCTATCAATCCATGAACAAGTCTGTTCAAATCATCTGCAATTTCTTTTTTTAGTGTTTCATAGTTCTCCTTGTATAAATCTTTCGTATCTTTTGTTAAGTATACTCCTAGATATTTAATTTTCCTTGGGACTATAGTAAAGGGTATTGCATTTTTTATTTGAGTTTCTGCTTGATGGTTCTTGGCATATATGAATGCTTCTGATTTGTGTATATTGATTTTATAGCCTGAAACTTTACCAAATATGTTTATTAAATCTAGGAGTCTCTTAGATGAATCCATGGGGTTTTCTAGGTATAATATCATATCATCAGCAAACAGTGAGAGTTTTATCCCGTCTGCCCCCACTTAGATGCCCTTAATACCCCTCTCTTGTCTGATTGCTATAGCTAGGACTTCGAGTATATGTTGAATAGAAGAGGAGACAGTGGGCATCCTTGTCTAGTTCCGGATTGAAGAGGGAATGATTTCAATTTTTCCCCATTTAGGATGATATTAGCAGTGGATTTGTCATAAATGGATTTGATAAGTTTACAGTATGAACCGTCTATGCCTATTTTATTAAGAGTTTTTATCATAAAGGTATGTTGGACTTTATCAAATGCTTTTTCTGCATCTATTGCCAGAATCATATGGTCTTCGTTCTTGATTTTATTTATAAAGTGAATTGCATTTATAGACTTGTGTATGTTGAACCAGCCTTGCATCCCTGGAATAAAGCCCACCTGGTCATGGTGAATTATTTTTTTGATGTGCTGTTCAATTCTATTTGCTAGAATTTTATTTAGGGTTTTTGCATCTGTATTCCTGAGGGATATTGGTCTATAATTTTCTTTTTTTGTTATGTCCTTTCCTGGCTTTGGTATCAAGGTGATATTTGCTTCGTAGAATGAGTTAGGAAGGATACCATCTTTCTCAATGGTGTTGAATAGTTTCTGTAGGATAGGTATGAGTTCATCTTTGTATGCTTGGTAGAACTCTGAAGTGTAGCCATCAGGTCCAGGAATTTTCCATTTGGAGAGGTTTTTAATTACTGCTTCAATTTCTGAGTTTGAGATTGGTCTATTCAGGAGATCTGTTACCTCCTGGGTGAACTTAGGGAGGTTGTTTGTATCCAAGAATTTGTCCATTTCATCTTCGTTCTGTAGTTTTTGGGCATATAGATTTTTATAGTAATCAAATATAATGTTTTGTATTTCTGTGGTGTCTGTTGTGATCTCTCCTTTTTCATTTCTTATTGAGTTTATTAGAGTCTTTTCCCTTTGAGTCCTTGCCATTCTAGCAAGAGGGCTATCAATTTTGTTTATCTTTTTAAAAAACCAGCTTCTGGTTTTGTTGATCTTTAGGATAGTTCTCTTGTTCTCCATTTCATTCAGTTCCACTTTGATCTTCATTATTTCTTTTCTTCTACTAGGATTGGAAGTTGTTTGCTCTTCTTTTTCCTTGAGCTTATTCATTAGGTTGTCAGTATCTAAGCTTTGTGTTTTTTGGATGTGAGCATTAATTGCTATTAGTTTTCCTCTCAGGTAAGCTTTGGCTGTATCCCACAGGTTTTGGTAACAAGTATCACCATTATCATTTTGTTCCAAGACATTCTTGATTTCTCTCTGAATTTCTTCCTTGACCCAATAATTTTTAAATAATAGATTGTTTAGTTTCCATGGTTTTGTGAGGTGTTGAGTGTTTCTGTTGGAATTGAACTGTTATTTTATACTATTATGGTCGGAGAAGATACAAGGTATAATTTCTATTTTCTTGAATTTTTTCAGATCTTATTTGCAGCCTAGGATGTGATCAATTTTGGAGAAGGATCCAGGGGCTGCTGAGAAGAATGTAAATTCAGCTTTATTTGGGTGAAATGTTCTATAGAGATCTGTCAGACCTTTTTGATCAAGCACTCTGTTCAGGTCCATTATTTCTTTGCTTATTTTCTGTTTGGAGGATCTATCCAGATCATTCAATGGAGTGTTGAAGTCCCCTGCTACTATGGCAGTGTTGTGTAACATGGTGTTTAGATTAGACAAGGTTTGTTTTATGTAATTGGGTGTTCCTGCATTGGGTGCATAGATATTCAGAATTGTTAATTCTTCTTGTTGGATCTTCCCTTTCACCATTATAAAATGGCCTTCTTTATCCTTTTTTACTTTTTATTTTAAAGCTTATGTTATCTGCAAATAGTATAGCTACCCCAGCTTTCTTTTGACTTCCGTTTGACTGGATAATAGCTTTCCATCCCTTGATCTTCAGTCGGAAGGCATCTTTGTGGGTTAGATGTGTTTCCTGTAGACAGCAGATGCTAGGCTTGTGGAGTTTTATCCACTCTGCAAATCTATGCCTCTTCAGAGGACAGTTTAAACCATTTACGT